TTTGTTTGCACCACTATATCGGACGGTTTCCCGAGACACACTCTGTTCCACTGATGTAATATCCCACCCTGAATGTATTGTATGCATGCAATAACGATCACAACGAACAGTTTCAAAAACTCAATGCGAAAAAAAGGAAAGTTCGACAACAGAATCGAAGAATTACAGTATAACAGTGTTTGAATATTTCAACGCACGAGATACATTTCGCTGTCGCTTGATCGCTTCCTTTAAAAATTACTCGCCGACAATTCGCATCCTGTAAAAAATGGTCCGCCAGCATACTGACCACCAAACGATGCAGCATTGAAGAGAAAGTAACTGGAAAAATTGTCGCCAAGTGCACAGATGAAGAGGAACCAGATTATGAATTAACAATATCTATTCCAGAAGCCTCTGTTCAATGTTTACAGCTAAGGGATGAAACGCAAACTGCTCCCCGACATGGTCAGTGGCACTTACAAGAAAGTAACGGACTGCTGGTTCCCAGAGAAGTGCGTTGAAACACACCCACCCGTCGACGGGTACTAACTGGAGGTATGTAGCCTAGGATCGAAGAGCCTAACATAGATACACTCAGACTGTAGGAACATTTCAGTAACATCACTAACATGGAATACCCATACCGGCTGCTCAGATGGTTATAATATTGTTGAATGAAAAACAGAATCAATCGGACAGCTCTACAGCGACAGCAGTGATTACTTCGAACAGTTTTGTGACGTATGCATGAATATTCTTAAATTTTGTGTTTTCTTTCACCACCATTTCCTTTGTGCCAACAGCAAATTCATGCGGGAAAGGTGCCATGTCGGAAGTGTCCGATACCGTTTCATCCGCCATGCAGTCCATTCGCTCAGCCACCTCAAAATAATCGAATTTCAATGAAAGAAGAATTATTCTTCTCCTTCTCCCACCCCTCAATTCCCAGCGCAACATTTCGGTACTGTGGAACGTCCCGGTAGTCCATTATATCAGGGTACCATCAACAGAGGCGCAACACCTTCGGAAGCTGTGCAACATCTCAGAAAATCGTGTAGTGCCTTTGATCCATGTAGCTTTGCCGAAAATCGCGTAATACCTTCGTGATTCGCCTGTCAAATAAACACGGGAGCCCATCCAACTGCTTAGGCTTAACAAACCAGAAAGGTTACGAGTTCTGTGATAAACTTTTCCGGGTTTGTAGAGGGCAAACCGAACTACATTCCTTCGTGACCGAAATTCACTGAACGTAAAAAACCGCCAAATCGCACTTCCTTTAGATTGTTGTAGACTCCGAAGGATATGAAGGTGAAAATCACGTAGAATACAAAAATTCTGAGGCATAATGACCAGGCATAATGAATGCAAGTACCACGTCTGGCAACAGACATCTTAAGAAGCAGTCACTGTTTCATCCCTTCGCTTTAAACACAGACAGAGTGCAGGGTGCGGGCAGAACTTGGAATCATCAGTACAGCTTCCTATCCGCCATCTATATGATAAGCAAATTCCTGATCAGAAAGGAAAGAAGGCACCACAAATAATACCAGGAAAAGTCACGTACAAATACTAAAATTCACGTAGGCAAGCGAAAGTGTCATCGCAAATCGGCCCTCAACCCACCCCCATCTAGCTGTTGTAGACGATTGAGTCTCATATACTACTA